TTGCGCTTGGAATCACGGGGTTTCATCTGCATGTGCTGCAAGCGCTTGCTGTAGTTTTCCTTGCTGCTCCCATTTTCTGGTGTTTTAGCTACAATATTGTGGTAATTAGTATTTGTGAACCTGTATCAGTAACTTTTTTGAGCGTGAAGTAGTAATTAAAGGAAAAGAAGGAGTGATATCCGGGAATTATGATTTACAAGTAACATGAGTACAAAAAAACATTGCTAAAGATTCTTATGGTCTGGTATGGGAGGAGGTCCATGGCAGGGGTGACACCATTCCTAGTGATGCCAGTGTGTCTGGCTCCTTGACCTTTTCCTATCACCCTTCTTTCCTTGCTCACCTCCATCTCCACCTCCACCCCCACCATCCCTTCTGAGACTTCCCCCATCTCTTAGGCTGTTAAGAACATGGATTTCAGAGCCAGAAATGTATGGGTTCAAATCCCAGATCTGCCACTTACTAGCTTTGTCAGTGCACTTAACCTCTCTAGGCCTCAGTTTTCCCATCTGCACTATCAAAATAGTATCTACCTCATAGAATCATTACCAGATGAATGAAATTATCTCTGTAAAACTCTTAGCACAGTGCCTGGCACACAGTAGGTTTTTAGTAAGCTGTAAGCACCTGGTAATGGTTACTACCACTCTCCCTGGACCCATCCTCTCTGTGCCCAAAAAGCAGACAAATGGATCTGATAACCAGGCTGAGCTGCTCGGCAGGTGGGCACCAGGAGAGGTTCCCTGCTATGGTGCTGACCGACTGTGGGCTCTGTTGGGGCTGATATCCAGCAACAACAGAATTCAGCCCTTCCTGAGCCCTAGAGCACAGAATGTCAGAACCGGATAGAAAACATGTGTCCCTCCCCTCATATTGCAGATGGGGAAACGAAGGCCCAGAAAGGCCTTCCTCGTAGTAGGTGATATTTCTAGGGGTCCAGTGGTGTGGGGCATGTTGAGATATTCTTTCTAAGGTGAAGGATAAGTTGTTGCACCTAGCCCCTCCTACAGCTAAAAAGGAGGCAGAATGCCTGGTGGGCCTCTTCGGATTTTGGAGGCAACATATCCCTCATTTGGGTGTGCTACTTTGGTCCATTTACCAAGTGTCCTGGAAAGCTGCTAGTTTTGAGTGGGGCCCAGAACAAAAGCAGGCTCTGCAACAGTTCCAGACAGCCATGCAAGCTGTTCTGCCACTTGGGCCATATGATTCAGTAGATCCAATGGTGCTTCAAGTGTCTGTGGCAGATAGAGATGCTATTTGGAGTCTAACGGGCCCCTATTGGTAAATCAGGAGCCCTGGTGGTGCAGTGGCTAAGTGCTTGGCTGCTAACTGAAAGGTTGGCGGTTTGAACCCACCAGCTGCTCTGAGGGAGAAAGATGTGGTAGTCTGCTTCCATGAAGATTTATAGCTTTGGAGACCCTATGGGGCAGTTTTACTCTGTCCTATAGGGTCGCTATGAGTTGGAATCAACTTGATGGCAATGGGGGTTTTGGTTTGTTTGTTTGGTTTTAAATTGGTAAATCACAGCGCAGACCCTTAGGATTTTGGACCAAAGCCTTGCCATCCTCTGCAGATAGCTACTCTCCTTTGAGCAACAGCTTTTGGCTTGTTACTGGGTTTTAGTAGAGACTGAAGGCTTAATCATGGGCCACTGAGTTACCAAGTGGCCTGAGCTGCCCATCATGAACTTGGTGTTGTCTGACCTACAAAATCATAGAGTTAGACGTGCACAGCAGCACTCTGTCATCAAATGGAAGTAGTATATACGAGATCAGGCAAGGTTTTCCCCTCTGACCAGGCTCAGTCCAGGCTGGTGGCCAGTCACTCGCCTCCCCAAGAGGCTGAGGCAGCAGGGCGGGGGTGGGCTGTGGGGAAGGGGCCTAGCCTTTCCATCCTGGTCCCTTTTGCCCACTCAATCCTGGCTCTACCATGCTCTTTTCTCCCCAGTCCTCAATATCGCCCCTACTCATCCCCACATACACATTCTGTGGGTCAGTTCTCCTCTCTGGACCTCTGCTCTGTTTGCTGTGAAGAAAATCATATTTGAGGTGGGGTACTAGAGAGAGCTGAACTGGCGGCAGGAGGCTGCCAGATCAACTGGGATGGTGTTCAGCGGCTTATAGGAGGAAACCGGTGAAGGCGGCTTAAACAATAGAGGCTGAATTTTCTCACACAAGAGTCTGGAGGTGGCACTCCAGGCCTGAGATGGTGGCTTCACGGTGCCACTAGGGACCCCAGCTCTCCCTGTGTTTCTGCTCTGTCTTAGCAGGACTTCGGTCCTCATATGTGGTCATCTCACGGTCACATATTAGCTGCCCCACCTCCCACTTGATGTCCCTGTTCCAAGCAGGAAGACGGAGAAGGGCAAAGGGCAAAGGGCCTGTGCCAGCTGGGTCCAGCCCTTTTAAGTCTTCCCAGAAATCCCTGCCAGCAACTTTTGCTCACATTTCATAGGCCAGAACCGGATGATATCACAGGGCCAATGCCTAGCTGCAAGAGAGTCTGGGAAGCTGAGCATTTTAAACTGGGCACATTGCTGCCCTCAACAAAATTGGGGTTCTGTAGTATGGAAGCGGGGCTGGATATTTGGCTTGTTGGCTAGTGGTCAGCTTTGCTCTGTAGCCATAGCTGTAGCCTTTCCTAGGGCACATGAGCACATATGGTGCCTCGATGTGGCTCACAAAATGGCGTCCATATTTGGGTTGACACAGGGCTTGGCTAGGAGAGCACAGACTGTGTCTCCACATCCCTCACTCTGTCCCTTGTTGGGGTGACTTTGCCTTGCCATTGCCCTCTCTGCACCTCAGTTCCAAATTTGGTGAGATGAGCTATCATTCACTTGCCACCTTTTTTGTTGTTGTTGCCACGTTCTGTATCACCTTACTATTATACTTTAAACCAATTCACTTATTGGCCTTGTTTGTTATTGTTAGGTGCCGTCGAGTTGATTTTTGACTCATATCGATCCATGTGACAGATAGAACTACCCCATAGGGTTTCCTAGGCTGTAATCTTTATGGGAGCAGGTCCCCATGTCTCTCTCCCGTGGAGCCGTTGGGTGAGTTTGAACCACCAACCTTTCTGTTAGCAGCCGAGTACTTAACTACTGTGCCACTAAACCAAAACCAAGCCAGACTCATTGCCATCAAGTCAATTCTGACTCATAGTGACCGTATAGGACACAGTAGAACTGCCCCATAGGATTTCCAAGGTTGTAAATCTTTACGGAAGCAGACTGCCACATCTTTCTCCCACGAAGTGGCTGGTGGGTTTGAACCACTGATCTTTAGGTTAGCAGTCAAGTGCTTTAACCACTGCACAACTAGGGCTCCTCATTGTGTCACCAGGGTTCCTTTATTGGCCTTAATAAATAATTTAAATAGGAGGCTTTATAATACTACCGTCACCCCTACAGCATTAGCATCGCTTTCCATAAAGAGAAAATAACTGTCAAAATAAATATGCTAGAAGGAAATCAACATTAAGTTTGGGTCTCCTACTCCTGCCCTGACAATAGCTGAGGCTGGCTTTGTCTTTGCTTTAAAGGGAGATTCGCAAGTGTTAGAACGATGATACAGACGTGCTAGCACCAAAGTGAGACTTTCTCCTCAACTGAAAGGAAGTTTAAAAGGAATCACTGTTTCCCTCTGTGATCTAAGCCACCTACAGCCACCTCCCAGGCCCCCCAGCCACGCTAGTGGTCCTGCCGGCTCCTCCTTCCTGGGCTGACAACCGGCCATTCCGAGCGCTTTTGTCCCTCCTCCATCTCCAGGGCTGTGCCAGGATGGAGGTCCTGAGGGAGAAAGTGGAGGAGGAGGAGGAGGCCGAGCGCGAGGAGGGGGTAGAACGGCCCTCAAGGCCCGAGAAAATGACCAAGCTGCTGCGGAAGGAGGCCACCACCCTGACACCGGAGATGCTGAGAGACATGGAGCAGAAGCTGTCAGAGATCAAGGTCCCCGTCCCAGGGGAGCCCTTGTGAGTGCCAGGGTGGGGGCTTCAACCAGGGCTGGGGACCAAAGGGCCAGACCGAATGGTGTTGCCTGGGCTGGGAGGCAGGGCCAGGACAGGACAGGGAGGTGGGTAAGAGTGAGGACTCGGCTTTCAGACTGCCTGATCTGAGTCTCACTAGCTGTGTGACCTCGGGCAAGTCACTTCACCTCTCTGTGCCTGACTTCTTCCATCTGATAATAATGATGCATGCCTCCTACCAACTTGCCAGGATTAAATGAGGGAGGGGTAGAGTCTGTCACGGCTAAGGTGGATCGAGGATCTCCTGTGTGCCAGGCATAGCCTCCCACAGACTAATGCCACCCCTCTTGTGGCCGCAGGACCAGTGACACCATTGACATCGCCAAGCTGCCCCTTTCGTACAGAATCAACACACCTAAGGAGGAACAGCTGCTGCAGGTGGCAGACAACTTCTCTCGCCAGTACAGCCACCTGTGCCCAGACCGCGTGCCCCTCTTACTGTACCCGCTGAATGAATGCGAAGTGCCCGTAAGGCAGGGGAGGACAGAGGGCAGGGATGGGGGGCAGAGGGGGAGACAGACAGCAGAGGGTGAAGAGTGGTGGGAGGGTTCTCCATGGTCTCCAGCCACAGCACAGACCTCCTGGGGGTCACAGCAGAATCAGGCCCCAACCAACTTCTAAGCTGGGGGGCATAAACTCAAATGCCAACAGGCCCCAGCCCAGGGCTCTGCTCATCACAGGGGATATGCAGGCCTGGGGTTATCAGATCAAGAGATGAGGGGAGTTGGGATTTTTATAGGAATCTCTGATTTGTAAATGCTGGCAGCTAATACAAATTTTTAAAAATTGCCTCATGGGCGGAATGAAACAGGTCTGTGAGTCCCTGGCAGCCTGTGGGCAGCTATTTTGCAACCTTTGGATTAATTCCATGACTTCCATTTACAGATGGGGAAACTGAGGCCCAGGGAGGCTCAGAGACCTGCCATGGCTCACAGGGCTGGAAGGAATGATGCAAACACTCAGGTCCCGGGGCCCGTCCTGGTCCACTTTGTCTTATTTCTTTGCCCTCTGCTGGACAGGGCCGACCTCTGGGGCTGGAGACTGCACTGGCCATGCGGCTGCCCCTGGCCTAGATCCTCTGTAGGCCCAGGGGAGGGCATTATGCCTGGGGAGGAGATCAGGACACTCCCAGGACCATGAGGGGGGAGCCTGGGAGGCAGGACTTGCCAGGTGATGTGGGGCAGCGTTCTAAGGCCCCTCTGGGCCTCAGGCTCCTCGTTGGTCCCCTGGAGGTTGCAGGAAGACATCTTTCACGGCCCATCCAGCCCAGATCCAGAATGAGTTTGTGTGTCCCCTGGGTGCCAGTGATGTGATCAGGGCCTCCCCAGTCATTGTGCTGCCCACTGAGTGCTGCCGTTTGCCAGGCCTGTGTATTACCTTCCCGACACCCCAACAATTGTGAGATTAAAAACCAACAAACAAACTGTTGCCATTGAGTCGGTTCTGATTCACGGCAACCCATATGTGTCAGAGTAGAACTATGCTCCACAGGGTCTTCAGGAGCTAGTTTCCTGAAAGTAGATCACCAGGCCTTTCTTTCAAGGTACCTCTGGGTAGACTGAAACCACCAACCTTCCAGTTAGCAGCTGAGTGTGTTAATCACTTGGGCTACCCGGGGACAACTGTGAGATAGGTCCTGTTATTGTCCCCATTTACAGATGAGGAAACTGAGGCTCAGAGAGATGAGGGGACTTGCCTAGGCTTACACAGTTGGTGACAGAGCTGGGGTCTAGCTCTAGGCCACCACCCAGTGTGGGGTACCTGGTGCTACCAGGGCGAGGGGCTGCCCTGCCACCTGGCGTCTGCAAGGACTAGCCTCCTGAGCCCGCTCTGGCCTCTAGGGTCTTCCCTGTGGATTTGAGGAAGGCCCCACCTGGCACCTGGTCTCACAGGGTCCCCACTGCACACAGCCCCCCTTGCCAGGGTCTTAGTTATCTAGTGCTGCTATAACAGAAATACCACAAGTGGGTGGCTTTAACAAATAGAAATTTATTTGCTCACAATTTAGGAGGCTGGAAGTCCGAATTCAGGGCACCGGCTTTAGGGGAAGGCTCTCTCTGTGGGCTCTGGGGGGGACCCTTGTCTCAGCTTCTGCTTGGCGTTCCTTGGAGATCTCCACGTGGCATCTATCTTTCCCCATTTGTGCTTGCTTGTCTCTGTGTCTAGTCTGCTCTTTTTATATCTCGGAAGTGACTGGGTTTAAGATACACCCTACACTGATACGGCCTCATTAACATAAGAAAGAAAATCCTATTCCAAATGGGATTACACCCACAGGTACAGGGGTTAGGATTCCAACACATATTTGGGGGGACACAATTCTATACATAACACCAGGTCTCTCCCCTTGCAGAAGTTCTTGAGCACGACCATCCGGCCCACGCTGATGCCCTACCCTGAGCTCTACAACTGGGACAGCTGTGCCCAGTTTGTCTCCGACTTCCTCACCATGGTGCCCCTGCCTGACCCCCTCAAGCCGGTAAGCACCACCCCAGGATGGATCCTTAGCTCCCTGAAGCTTAAGATGGGAAAACAGGCCGAGGCTGGGAGAAGACTCAGTCTGGCTCAGGCCACAGCCCATGAGCCTGTCGGGGCCCCTCAGAGATGCCCAGGGGGGAAATGGGCCCAGAGAGGGCTGGGCACTTGCCCACGGTCACACAGCAAGCCTGGAAGGGGTGAAAGAGTCTCCCTTTCATGACTTTAGGGGGTGGGCAAAGGAGAGAGAGGGGAAGGCCCCACACTTACAGCCCTCATTCAGCCCCAGCTTTGGGCTCCTGACCCACTCAGTCAGCTTCTCGTTGAGAAGGGAGGAAGAGAGGAAGAAAGGGACAGGTCAACAGGAGAACTGATAAAGGGAAGAGAAGGAAGGGATGGGGCATAGAAAGTGAGAGGATCCTGGGAGTGAAACAATAAAGTTGCCAGTTAGAGAGCATCGGACCCAGAAGCATGATTAAAGCTTCTCCAGCCCAGACGTGGTTTTCCTTCGGGAATTCACGAGCCTCTTAAAATTATGCTACGCGTGGAGTGTGTTTTCTGGGCACAGAGTCCGTGGTTTTCATCGGTCTTAGCAGGCTCCCCAACCCACAAGGGTTAAGAGCCCCGCTGGGGTCCAGCCGGCTCATCAGCCCCAGCCCTGACAGGTGGGCTGTGACTGGCGGGGCAGCCAGGTGGGGGCAGCAGGTGCCAGCTGTGCTGACCAGCCTGCTGTGCCCAGCCCACATACCTGTACTCCTCGACCACGGTGCTCAAGTACCAGAAGGGCAACTGCTTCGACTTCAGCACGCTGCTCTGCTCCATGCTCATCGGCTCTGGCTACGACGCCTACTGCGTCAGCGGCTACGCCTCGCAGGACCTGTGCCTCATGGACCTGACGCGGGAGGTGTGCCCGCTCACCATGAAGGCCAAGGAGGTACGGCCAGGCTCATGTCGCCCACGGGCATCTCATAGGTTGTGCGTTACCACTGCTGTCGCGCCCATCCTTAAAGAAGTGTGGAGCGTGTAGGTAGAGATGTACAATGGTGCAGCCGCTGTGGAAAACCATTTGGCAGTTCCTCAGAAAACTAAACATAGAGTCATTACATCAGTACCAGTTTGCCATCGACTCAGTTCCGACTCATGGCAACCCCGTGTGTGTCTGAGAATGACTGTGCTCCGTAGGTGATTTTTCGGAAGTAGATTCCCGGGCCTTTCTTCCAAAGTGCCTCTGTATGGACTCGAACCTCCAACCTTTCAGTTAGCAGTCTAGTGTGTTAACTGTTTGCACCACCCAGGGACTCAGCAATTCCACTCATAGGTATATACTCCCCGAAAAGCTGAAAGCTGGGCCAGCTGCAAACAGATACCTGTGTACCGCTGTTCACTGCAGCACTATTCACAATATCTGAAAGGTGGAAACAACCCGTGTCCCAACAGATGAATGGATAAACAAAATGTAGTATATCCATACAGTGGAATATTGTTGGTGTTAGGTGCCATGGAGTCGATTTTGACTCATAGCAACCCCATGTGACAAAGCAGGACGGCCCTATAGGGTTTTCTTGGCTGTGATCTTTACGGAAGCAGATCGCCAGGTCTTTCTCCCGTAGAGCAGCTAGGTGGATTCGAGCCACCTATTTTTTGGTTAGCAACCCAGCACTTAACCATTGTGCCCCCAGGGCTCCAATACATGCTATGACATGGATGAACCTTGAAAGCATGCTGAGTGAAGTAAGTCAGACACAAAAGGTCAAATATTGTGATCCTACTTATATACGTTATCTATGTAGGCAAATGCATAGAGACACAAGTAGAATAGTGGTTACCAGGGGCTAGAGGGAGAGGGGAATGGGGAGTTAGTACTTTAAAAAAAAAATGAAGGAAAAAAAATATATACACCTATACTGGGGGGTGTATGCCCAAAACCTTTTTGCCAAAACATATGGGGACCTAGGTGTAGAGGAGAAGGCTGAAGGTGGAAAGTTGGAATACTCCATCTTTTTCCCAGACTTGCTATATGATTCAGAGCTATGGGTGTGGTTGTGAGGGCAGAGCCTCAGTCAGGCCACTCTATAAGAAACAAAAAAGTTCCTCAGAGATTCTAATGCCTGGCCAGGTTTGGGAATCACTGAAGTTTTCAGCTTTGTATCCTTAGTATCCACCGGGTGCATGGCATGTTGTTGCTGGGTGCCGTTGAGTCGATTTCGACTCATAGCGACCTGGTGTGACAGAGTAGAGCTGCCCCTGTTGGATTTTCTAGGCTGTAATCTTTATGGGAGCAGATCTCTAGGTCTTTTTTCCCACGGAGCAGCTGGGTGGGTTCGAACTACCAATCTTTCGGTTAGCAGCCAAGCACTTAACCATTGTGCCACCAGGGCTCCTTGCCTGGCATGTAGTCAATTAAAAAAAAAAAAAAAGTGTCCCGCTGTCTCTAAGCCTGCCCCAGCCATAGAAGCAGCACTATCACCGGGTAGCCCCTCAGCTGCCCTGGCAGCTTCTACTTGCCATTTATTCATAAATCCAACCACCGTTGACTTCTCTGCCTTAACACATACAGCCCAGTTCTCCAAACTGGCTGTCCCTCCCCCTGGCTGTAACTCAGTTTCAGCTACTGTGCCCCCCAACTAGGTAAATTTTGTGAGTTCCACATGGCTTATAAGGAGCCCTGGTGGCATAGTGGTTACAGCACTTGGCTGCTAACGGAAAGGTTGGTGGTTTGAACCCACCAGTGGCGGTAGAAAGATGTGGCGGTCTGCTTCTGTAAAGATTTACAGCCTTGGAAACCCTATGAGGCAGTTCTACTCTGTACTATAGGTCACTATGAGTCAGAGTCGACTCAACGGCAATGGGTTTTGGTGACATGGCTTATATTTTAAGTCAAACTGTTCCAGGAGCCCTGGTGGTGCAATGGTTAAGCACTTGGCTGCTAACTGAAAGGTTGGCGGTTTGAACCCACCCAATGGCTCCATGAAAGAAAGACCTGGTGATCTGCTCCTATAAAGATTACAGCCTAGAAAACACTATTGGGGCAGTTCTACTCTATCACCTGGGGTCGCTATGAGTCAAAAACAACTTGACGGCACCTAACAACAACAATGTTTCAAATTTACCCTATATGCTTGCTAAAAATCCATCTAGACATTTTCATATAATGAAACAACAAATGGGCAGACAAAGGCCCCTTTCTAACAGCAAAAACAAAACAAAAAAACAAAAGTCAGCAGCCGTCCAGCAGGTAGTGGTTGTGTTTTTATAGCTGTTTATTGAGAGCTTCATAAAGGCTAGAGGCTGCTGGGGACACAAGAGACACTCTTAAATGCATTTTAATTTTCGGAATCACAAAGCATCTCTTTATATTTGGAAAATCATCATACTACTCACAGAAAACACTTTAAATGAACTGAATGAGCTCTGGGGCTCTGTGGTCAGAGCCAAGGCCCTGTGGGTGTCTGTAAGTCAGGGGTGGGGATCCAGGGTCCCAGAACACCCAGCACGATACACGTGCCCCTGTGTTGTACGTGCGTGAGCACGTGTGGGACCCAGGTGGGTTCTCTGGTGGAGTGAGGGTGAGAAGGAGGGGGAGAGCCTTCCCCTTCAGGCCCCCCCACCCCCAAGGAAAGATGGAGCAAAAGCTCCAGCATTGCTTTTCGCCCCAAAGGCCTGTGAGCTCACACGCGGGCCTATGTCTCAGCCAGAGTCAGGGTCTTAGTAACAGAAATATCAGGACTAACAGATGCAGAGAACTTTCTGGTTTATAAACTGCTTTGATGTTCACTAACTTACTTACTCCTCACAACAGCCCTGTGTGGCAAGAATTATCACTTCTTTCTTTCTTTCTTTTTATTGTACTTTAGATGAAGGTTTACAGAACAAGTAGTTTCTCATTAAACAGTTAGTACACATATTGTTTTATGGCGATGGTTAACAACCCCACGACATGTCAACACTCTCCCTTCTTGACCTTGAGTTCCCTATTACCAGCTTTCCTGTCCCCTCCTGCCTTCTAGTCCTTGTCCCCGGGCTATTATGCCCCATTAGTCTCGTTTTGTTTTATGAGGCTGTCTAATCTCTGGCTGAAGGGTGAACCTCGGGAGTGACTTCACTACTGAGCTAAAAGGGTGTGTGGGGGCCATACTCTCGGGGTTTCTCCAGTTTCTGTCAGTCCAGTAAGTCTGGTCTTTTTTTGTGAGTTAGAATTTTGTTCTACATTTTTCCCCAGCTCCGTCCGGGAGCTTCTGTTGTGATCCCTGCGAGAGCACCATCTAGTTGTACTGGACGCGGTCTGGTGGAGGCCATGGGTAGTTGTGGTCCATAAGTCCTTCGGACCAATCTTTCCCTTGTCTCTTGTTTTCTTTATTCTCCCTTGCTCCCGAAGGGGTGAGACCAGTGGAGTATCTTAGATGGCCACTCACAGGCTGTTAAGACCCCAGATGCTACTCACCAACGTAGAATGTAGAACATTTTCTTTATAAACTATGTTATGCCAATTGAGCTAGATGTTCCCTCAGACCATGGTCCCCACAGCCCTCTGCAGGAATTATCACTTCTGTTCTACAAATGTGAGTCCCTAGGTGATGCAGTTAATGCGCTCAGCTGCTAACCAAAAGGTTGGAGGTTTGAGTCCACCCAGAGCCACCTCAGAGGAGAGTCCTGGCAATCTACTTCTGAAAAACCAACTATTGAAAACCCTGTGGAGAATAGTTCTACTCTGACACACATGGGGTCACCATGAGTCGAAATCAACTTCATGGCAACTGTTATTCTATAGATGAGTGTGTTCAGATGAAATTGGAAGATGAAATAGTGTGGCCAAAGTCACACAGCTGGTCAGTGGAGACCCAGGGATGGAACCCCGGGGGGTCAGACTCTTAACCCTGGAGATAATGCTCTTTCTCCCCCATAATTGCTGCAGACCTCTTTTGCAGCCTCTGCAGTGGTCTTTCCTGCCCAGTTTTCTTGCCACCTTAGCATGCATCCTGTACACACACATACACATACACACACACACAGAATTTCATCACTTCCCTTGCCCAGCAAACTCTTACTTTGGTCAACATATGAAGCCCTCCAATGATGAGATCTGAAAATCCTGACACCCCTTTTTAATTTGCCCCACTTCTTAGATAGGGTCATATAGCTAGCATGGGCTGTGGAGAAAGAAGAGGAAAAAGGTGCATCTCCTGAGCTTCTGCCCTGGGAGGCATCTTACGTGGGGATTTTATGGTGTCTACTACTCAGAACAACCCCGGTTCTGAGAGTGCTTAATATTCTCATCCCTGAGGTTCAGAGATGAGAAGATGTACCCAAGGTCACAGAGCTGGAGCTGATCCTCTGTCTGCATGTAGGGCCAGAAAGCCCGTCTGGTCAAGGAACTGTGATCTCCTGGTTGGAGGGGCCGTTGGGCAGGTCTCAACTCTCAGAGTGTGTGTGGTGGGTGGTTCAGGGCTGTTGACCCTTCTCTCCTCTTGGGTGACAGGTGGTCCATGAGGAGGAAAGAGTACCACCTAAGAAGTATGCCATCAAACCCCCCAGGGACCTGATCAGCAGGTTTGAGAAGGAGCAGGAGACCAAGAGACAAGAGGAGATCAAAATCGCAGAGGAGAAGCGGCTGAGGGAGGAAGAGGAGCGTATCATGGTGGGTCCACAGTCCTCAGTCCCCACCCCCAGCTCAGCTAATAAGAAGGGCTACTGTGAGTGGGGAAACAGACACAGGTCAGGGAAAGGGTGGATTTCATGGACCCCCAGTGCAGCTCTGGCACTCTCCTTGTTCCAGACTCTTCACTGGAGACATACCTACACACACCCTTCCATCTATCCATCTACCCATCTCTCCATCCTTCCATCTTCCCGTCCATCATTTAGCCTCCCATATCTACCCCCATCATCCATCCAACCATCCATCCATCCATCCTCATCTCTCCATCCATCATCTATAAATCTTCCCCTCTCTCCTTCCAACACTCATCCATCTTCCCATCTGTTCTTTCATCATCCATCCTCCCATCTCTCCTTCTATCACCCATCTACCCTTCCATCTCTCCTTCCATTGTCCATCCATCTATCTGTCTCTCCTTCCACCCGTCCATTCTCTCATCCCTGCTTCAATTATCTATCCTCCCATTCATCCATCCTCCCATCCTTCCCTCCTCCCATCCATCCTCCCATTTCTCCTTCCATCCATCCACGCTCTCATCCTCCCTCTTTCTATTGCTCCCTTCCACCTACTATTTTCTGGGTTTCTCCTCTGGTCCAGGCCTTGGAGATACAATAATGAACATGGCACAGTCATAGTCCTCCCAGAGAGAGGCCAATAAGGAAGTACGGTGTCCCATTACCTTTCTTTGGATGAATTCTCACCCAGAATCACAACATACAAATCCAGTAAATGTCGGATACCCTAAAATTCCAAAGAGTCCAGTTTGTAAACCATAGGTCATGTCAGAGCCTCCCATTTTATTGATAAGAAAATGGGCTCAGGGTGGGATGATGTCCTCAAGCCAGTGGTGCAACCTGGATCAAAACTGGGCTGTCCTGCTGAACCCGTGACACTCCCCTCCCCACCCATCTGGCCATGGTCACCCACCTCTCCTGTGCAGGAGGCGGAGAAGGCACCACCTGACCCCCTGCACGGCCTGCGGGTACACTGCTGGGTCCTGGTGCTGTCGGGGAAGCGCGAGGTGCCCGAGAGCTTCTTCATCGACCCGTTGACAGCACGCAGCTACAGCACCCAGGATGGCCACTTCCTGGGCATTGAGAGCCTCTGGAACCACAAGAACTACTGGGTCAACATGCAGGACTGCTGGAATGGCTGCAAGGTGCCTGGGAGGGGGTCTGGGTGGGTGTGGCAGGCACAGCTCGGGGAGATGTGGGGGGAGATGAAGGTGGTCAGACCTGTGGGGAGAACCAGCTACTAGGCCATAAGGGCTTTGGACTGCCCCTGAGCTGAGTTCCCATAGCCACTCCCTTGCCCATAAGTAACCATTCTAATATGACTGTTGTCTCTCTTTTGATGTGTGTATCCTTTTAAAGTGTGGATTGTTGGTTTGTGTTAATGAATTTTTGAAAACTCTGTATTGTGGTATAACATTCATGTAGAAAAGTGCAGTCATCCCGAATGTACAGCTCAATGAATTTACATAAACTGAGTACAGATGAAGAAATAGAACACCTAGATCAGGAAATAGAACATCACCCACACCGCAGATGCCACCCTTGTGTCCAGTTACTAACCAGGTGCCCTCGAGTCAATTCCAACTCACAGTGACCCCATGGGTGTCAGAGTAGAATTGTGCTCCATAGGGTTTTCAGTGGCTGAATTTTTTGGAAGTAAATTGCCAGGCCTTTCTTCTCAGTGAACTTGAACCTCCCACCTTTAGGTTAGGAGGTAAGGGCGTTAACCATTCATACCACCCTCCCTAAATGTGTACATGTATTTTTAATTTATGTAAATGGCACGGATATATGTGAGTGTGTTTCAGTTGCTTATTTTCTATATACTCTTTCTTTATTGCAAGAGTGCACAGAAGAGCGCACGCAAATCCTACGTATGTATACCTCATTGAATTATCACACACTGAACATACCTACATAACCAAGCCCAGCACCCTACAAGTCCTTCATGTCCCTTCCTGGTCACTATCCCTTGCATCCTCCCCAAAGTTGAGTACTATCCTGAGTTCTACCAACATACATTTGTTTTGCCTGTTTTGGGACTTTATATAAATTGATTCATACGGTATATACTCTCTTGTATCTGATACTTTCACTGAAGATTATGTTTATGAGATTCACCTATGTTTTGTGTGTAGCTATAGTTTGTTCATTTTCACTGTTTATTGATTTCTTATTGTTGAATGTACCAGAATTTATTTATCCATTCTATAATTGGTGCATATTTAGATTGTTCCAGTTTGGGACTATTTTGAATAGTGCTGCTATAAACATTCTTGTACATGTATTTTGATGAACTCATATACTAATTTCTGTTGAGTAAATATCTGGGAGTGGAATTGCTGGTCACAGGATATGTGTATGTTCAATTTTGTAGATAAAATGATTGCACCAATCTACACTCCCACTGGTGGTGTATGAGAGTTCCAGGTGCTGTACACCCTTGCCAACACTTAATATAGTCTCTTTTTAATTTTAGCTATTCTATTAAGTATGTAACAGTACTACATTATGGTTTCATTTGAAAATGCAGAGAATTTTAACTTATTAATTATAATAATTAAGGATTTTCTACATACACAGCCCTATAGATGAATTATAACAGTTTTGTTTCTTCCTTCTCAATCCTTATAATTTTTATTTCTTTCCCTTATTTTCTTTCTCCGGTACAATGTCAAATACAAGTGGGAGTTGTGGGCATCCTTCTCTCACTTCTGATCCAGAAAGAAAGCCTTAATATCTTAACATTTCATTATTCGTATGATGTTTACTGTAGTTTTTTTTTTTTTTTAAGAGTTACCCATTTATTATAAAGAGCCGTAGTGGTGCAAACAGTTAAATGCTAGGCTGCTATAGAAAAAGTTGGCAGTTCGTGGCACAAATCAAAAAAACAGAAAATAACAAGTGTTGGAGAGGCTGCAGGGAGATTGGAACTCTTATGCACTCCTGATGGGAATGCAAAATGGTACAACCATTTTGGAAAACAATATGGAGCTTCCTTAGAAAGCTAGAAATAGAAATACCATATGATCCAGCAATCCCACTTCTAGGTATATATCCTAGAGAAGGAAGAGCCATCACGCGAATAGACATCAGCACCCATGTTCATTGCAGCATTGTTCACAATAGCAAAAAGATGGAAACAACGTAGATGCCCATCACCAGATGAATGGATAAACTATGGTACATACACACAATGGAGTACTACGCAACGATAAAGAACAATGATGAATCTGCAAAGCATCTCACAACATGGATGAATCTGCAGGGCATTATGCTGAGTGAAATAGGTCAATCACAAAAGGACAAATATTGTGTGAGACACTACTATAAAAACTCATAAAAAAGTTTACACACAAAAAGAAACAATCTTTGATGATTACGAGGGAGGGGAGGAATAGGGGTGGAAAAACACTAAATAGATAATAGATAAGTGGTAACTTTGGTGAAGGGTTAAGACAGTACACAATACTGGGGAAGCCAGCACAGCTTGTTCAGGGTAAGGTCTTGGAAGCTCCATGGATACATCCAAACTCCCTGAGGGACCAAATTACTGGGCTGAGGGCTGTGGGGACCGTGGTCTCAGGGAACATGTAGCTCAATTGGCATAACATAGTTTATGAAGAAAATGTTCTATATTCTACTTTGGTGAGTAGCGTCTGGGGTCTCAAAAGCCTGTGAGTGGCCGTCTAAGATACTCCACTGGTCTCACCCTTTCAGGAGCAAGGGAAAATGAAGAAAACTAAAGACACAAGGGAAAGATTAGTCAAAAGGACAAATAGACCACAACTACCATGGCCTCCACCAGACTGAGCCCAGAACAACTAGATGGTGCCCGGCTACCACCACCGACTACTCTGTCAGGGATCACAGAGCTGGAGAAAAATGTAGAACAAAATTCTAACTCAAAAAAAGACTAGACTTACTGGCCTGACAGAAATTGGAGAAACCCCAAGAGTATGGCCCCCAGACACCCTTTTAGCTCAGTAATGAAGTCACTCCCGAGGTTCACCTTTTGGCCAAAGATTAGACAGGCCCACAGGACAAAACGAGACAAAAGGGGCACAGCAGCCCAGGGGCAAGGACTAGAAGGCGGAGGGGACAGGAGAGTTAGTGATAGGGAACCCAAGGTCGAGAAGGGAGAGTATTGACATGTCATGGGGTTGTTAACCAATGTTATAAAACAATATGTGTACTAACTGTTTAATGACAAGCTAGTTTGTTCTGTAAACCTTCATCTAAAGTACAATAATAAAATAAAATAAAATAAAAACTGATGGAATACCTAGCGATAAATTTGGTATAATGTACAAAACCATTATAGAGAAAAATATGAAACTGTATGGAAATACACTAAAGAAGACCTAAATAAATTTTAAAAAGAGAAAAAGTTGCCAGTTCAAACCCACCCAGCAGCTCTGAGGGACAAAGACCTGGTGATTTGCTTCCATAAACATTACAGCCAAGAAAACCCTGTAGGGTAGTTCTACTGAGTCATGTGGAGTTGCTATGAGTCGAAATCAACTTGACGGCACCTAACAACATTTACTATAACCAGTTGTTTTTTTTCTTTACAGTTTTTTACAGTTACCCATTTATTATAACCAGGTTTTTTTTTAACTGTAGGTTTTTATTGTAGCTACTCTTTATCAGACTAAGAAGATTCCTTTCTCTTCTTTAGTTTTCTAGCAGTTTTTCTGTTAAACAAGTTTGTTTTTTTATCAAATGCTTTTCCTTCATCTATTAAAATGATCATATGATTTCCTCTCTTTATTCTACCAACTGGGTGAATTTTTACACTGATTGTTTGTTTTGCTTTTCTTATTGAGATATAATTCACAGTCCATAAAATTCACTCTTTTAAAGTGCATTTCATTGTATGGCTAGGCCATAATTTGTTTATCCATTCATCCGCTGATGGACACTTGAGCTTTTTCCACTTTGGGTTATCAAATTCCTAAAAAAAAAATTGAACTTGAATTTGATTTGGGATGATGGTGAATTTATGTATCAATATGAAACATTCACATCGTAATGCTTCCTACATATTAACTCAACGAGCTCTGGTGGTGCAGTGATTAAGTGCTTGGCTGCTGACCAGTAGGTCGGCGGTTTGAATCCACCAGCTGCTCCTCAGGAGAAAGATGTGGCAGTCTACTTCCACCCAAGAACATGGCTTGTGTATTTTTAGTTAATTCCTAGATAGTTTAGAGATATTGTTGCTATTGTGATTGGTATCTTAATTCTTCATTATATATTTTAGTTGGTTATTGCTAGTATAGATAAATATTATTGATTTTAAAGTAGCAAAGCACGATAATAACTAATTACTACTTTGCTGTTTATGAAAGTAGAGGTGGTTGAGTGATAGAATTCTTGCCTTCCATGTGGGAGCCCCTGGCTCAATTTCCAGCCAATGTGCAGCCACCACCCATCTGTCAGTAGAGTCTTGCGTTTTGCTGTCATACTGAACAAGTTTCAGTGGATCTTCCAGACTGAGATGGACTCGGAAGAAAGGCCTGGTGATGTACTTCTTAAAATCAGCCAGTGAAAACCCTGTGGATCACAACAATCTGATCTGCAGCTGACCATGGAGATGGTGCAGGACTCGGCAGCATTTCGTTCAGTTGTGCACGGGGTCACCATGAGTCAGGAGCCGACTTGACGGCAGCTAACAACAACACTCACTTCTTATAAAAATAACAGAATTTAGGACAAGATTTAAAGAAATACAAGCATCTGTACAATTTGGTCCCTCTCCACTCACTTTTGACTACTCCCAATCAGTGTTACACCTAGGACCGGTTTTCTCCCTTCCCCTCATCTGCTCCCTCCTTCCCTCAATCCACTTGAGCAGAGTAATTCTTGGGAGCCTTGCCAGGACTCAGACATGATGTTAAGGACTAGGATTAGGGCCGGCCTGCTCAGGGCAGCTTAATGTTAAAACCCCTTATGGGCAGCTTTTCTTTGACCTTTGATCTCCTTCTGGAACACTGATTCTGAGGATGGGGCAGAAGGTCCTGGGAGGTGAATTGAAATGTGGGGTGCCCCCCACCTGCTAGGAACTACCTGGCAAGTGAGCCACTTTGACTGAGGAGACCATGATCTTACTCCTCAGGTGAGCTGGGGTCAAAAGAAGGTGGATGACCAAAGCACAGAGGAGAAATCCCCCACCTGCTTCTTATGTTCAACCTCCACATGTGCCCTGCCAAATCCCTTCTCCTGGCATGGGTAAACAACATGTTGTTGTTGTCTTATGCTGTTGAGTCGATTCTGACTCCTGGCAACCCCATGTGTTACAGAGTAGAACTGCTCCATGGGGTTTTCTGGATTGTAATCTTTACGAAAGCATATCACCAAGCCTGCCAGGTGGGTTTCGAACTGTCAACCTTTTGGTTACCAGCCAAGAGCAAACTGTTGCTGTTCTTGTGAGGTGCCTTCCAGTCAATTTCAACTCATAGCGACTCTACGTACAACAGAACAAAGCATTGCCAGTCCTGCGCCATCCTCACAATCATTGTTATTCTTGAGCCCATTGTTGAAGCCACTGTGTCAGTCTGTCTCGTTGAGGGTCTTCCTCTTTTTTGCTTACCTTCTACCAAGCATGATGTCCTTCTCTAGGGACTGATCCCTCCTAATAATATGCCCAAAGTATGTGAGTCTCGCCATCCTTGCTTCTAAGGAGCATTCTGGCTGTACCTTCTTCCAAGACAGATTTGTTCATTCTTTTGGCAGTCCATGGTATATTCAATATTCTTCACCAACACTGTAATTCAAAGGCATCAGTTCTTCTTTGGTATTCCTTATTCATTGTCCAGCTTTCACATGCATATGAGGTGATTGAAAACACCATGGCTTGGGTCAGTCACCTTAGTCGTCAAGGTGATATCTTTGCTTTTCAACACTTTAAAGAGGTCTTTTGCAGCAGATTTGCCCAATGCAATGTGTCTTTTGATTTCTTGACTGCTGCTTCCATGGTCATTGATTGTGGATCCAAGTAAAATGAAATCCTTGACAACTTCAGTCTTTTCTCCATTTAGCATGATTGCTTATTGGTCCT